TATAATGAACATTATGACTATAAATACTAGCCATAAATAACTAAATAGTATATTATGATACATTTAAAATATTATTATTATTATTAGTAGTAGTAGTAGTAGTAATTTATAATAAAAAAATAATTTGTGCCTCATTCATGAATGTTGTAGTGTCTGTCTGGTCCCAAGATTTTTACATTTGCATACAATTGTTTGTACAGATGCTTGTGGTACCTTTAATTGCTTGGAAATTGCTCCTAAGAAGGAACTGGACTTATGGAGATCCATGTTTTTTCTGAGGTCTTGGCTGAGTTGCCTAGATTTTCCCATGGTATCAAGGGCAAAAGGCACTGTCTCTAAATGTAGGCTCTTAAATACAGCCACAGTTGCACTCCCAATTAACTCCTAATTATGATAATTGGCCAATCAACATCTTCTAAATGTTCTAAATATCTTCCAGACTGTAGAACCTTCCAGCTGTTTAATTAGACAGTCAGTTTGGTGTATTTAAAGTTTTGACATATTGGAATTGTTTTAAAATGTAGTTTGTTTACTTTTACATGCACATTTATGTATAATTATTATGTATAGTTAGCCTGTAAAGTATTAGCTGAGAAAAGCAAAAGAAAACCTTAATCCAAGTGATAGAGTTTTAACCATATTACAACTGTTCAAATCCCAAGTGGACACAAAAAAAACATTTAAGACATAATGTTGCGTCATTTTTTTCAGGCTTATTTGTCAAAGGTTTAAGTATAATAAAAAGCACAGATTATTTTTTCCAGTCATTGCTACACAGACAAATCTAAGCTGGAACGAAAGCGGAACCTGCCGTGAAGTAGATGTTGAAGCACGAACTGATTTGAGGGTCGGACGTTTTGTTCGTTAGATATTGTGTGTGTTTCAGCGTTTAAATAACAGTAACGTATTGCAAGCGAGTTAATATTTACTTTGTGATATAAATGTGTTTTATGTGTACAGATCGGTACTATAATGTTGGTTGCTTTGTGTCCTACGTCACGGTAAAGTGCAACTTGAAATATATAGCAGTAGAAGCAAACTGTACTCGCCGTCATGTTTGCACCAAACGCAGAGCAGATGAGTATCTCTGGTAGACTGCTCGATACTGTACGTGAAACACACGTTGTCAGTTGACCGGTGATTAATTAAAGGAACTTCTAGTCTATAATGATTATACCTAGCCACGTTGTTGCCTTTGTCCTCATCGGACACAGCTTGCTTAAATATTAGGTGTGTAGGACGATTACAGTTGACTGTAGACAGTTTATTCTACCACACAGTATAAGTTCGCCCAGTCTACAGTTGCATGCCTTCACATTAGCAAGCTTCCTGTCGATTAACGTGCAGCAAATTTTCTGATAGGTCAGGCTTGCTGGCCGTGTTTATTTTACAAGCTGTTATTTGTATTGCTTTGCCCAATACCTCTTAAAAGACAATATGTATAAACAATCCTCGCTAGATTTAGATCATAAGCCAACACCCAAACCACCAGACACCACCTTTCAGAAGAATGGAGAAAAAAACAGTCCTATAAGTGTAATTCTGGTTAGTTCAGGAAGCCGTGGAAACAAACTGCTCTTTCGATACCCATTTATAAGGGTGTCTGAAACCACATCATCAGCTGCAAGTAAGTGTCCTGCTAAATCTGGGATTTTGGTTCTTCTACTGTGCTTCGACCCTTCTACTGTGCTTTTGGACCCTCGAGCATTGTGTCCTAGGTTTCAAGAAAATACTGTGTAATGTAAACGTGTAACTGTGTAATGTTAATGTGTGCATTTCCTCTTCTGTCATGTCTGGGCAGTGGTGGTGGCTCAGTGGACCAGTGTTACGAACTGTTTTCAGGGGAAAGTAGCTAATGCATGCGCAAAAAGTTGCTAGAGATCACCACGTGACATCATCATTTTCATATCCATTGAATCGTCATGATTATTTGTATATCAAAACATGTTGCATGAAGAAGATTTCCTGAAGACGATGGGGTTTCATCAGAATGGAAAATGATAGATTATTTCTTATAGAAAGGAGTCATCTTTGGTACCGGCCCTACAGACTAACTATTTACGTATTTACAAAATAGAGTAATGTGCAGTGGGTAGCCTTGCCTCCCACTGTCAAAAAAAAAAAAAACAAACATAAAAGTTAGCGCACTGGCTATACTAACTTGCCCCTAGGTGTGATCGAGTGTGTGAATGTGTGAGTGAAGGGTGTCCCATCCAGGTGAATTCTCCCACCTTGTGATTCCGATCAGGATAAAAGGGTTGGTGAAGATGAACAAATGATGAGTCATAACAACTATTTACATATTTAGACTATACTGTCATTTCGATCAAGTATGCAGAGAAAAGGAAGCAGGGGTAGTGACCACAGACACAAGGCAAAATGTTTACTGATGGAATAACTGACTTTATTACTTGTAAATATAGCCAAGAATAATAATAATAAAAAAAAAAAAGGTGCAGGGGAATCAAATAATTCTGATTATTGATTGGCTTTTGGGAACAATGGTGATCAGTGATAGGTTGGTGGGAACATAGAACAACTCAGTCAGGCTTTACACCCCGGTGGTGAGTCGACCATACCTGCTCTCTCAACTCATATAAACAGCAGCTGTGATTTCAGCTGGAGAGTTGTATTGAATGCAGGACAGTTGCTAGTGTCTGCTCAAATGTCACTAGATTTGTTTCTAGGCTCCTGTTTCAAATAAAATTGCTAAAGTGGTCTAAAAATTGCCAACTCTAAGGTGACACTGAGCTGACAACACTGCTTTAGGCTACTGATCTGAAGGTTGAGATCAAATCCCAGCACCATCCAGCTGCCACTTTTGGACCCTCGAGCAAAACATTTAACTCATAATGCTTAGTTGTATCCTGTCTTAATTGTAAGTCACTTTGGATAAAAGCATTGGCCAAATGTGTAAATGTCAGTTTCTTATTTGTTTGAAGCAAAACAACGAAGTCCATATGCTCTGAGGACCACAAGTGATGCCACTGAGGACCAAGATGGAGATTCACGGTACTGTGCTCTATGACTCTTAAATGTTGATTCATGAATAGTGTTTTAAATCATGTATAAGATGAAGTTTGATGGCAACATGGGGCAATTTTTGCAACTTTTAAATTTCTTCTTCAACATTTTCTGTCATCCAATGTAATAGAACAAGACATTATAGATCTCTGAAATCCCGAATATGTGGTCTATAAATATGAGAAGGAAAAATGTTTAACATGTTTCTTGAGTGATCAGATCGCAAGCGCTTGTGTTGGTATTTTGTGACTACTTACATCATTTCCTCAGGAGTGACAGAGGATGCTGCTTACATTTATTACACCCATCTCTTTCTGCATCTGCTGTCAGGCAAAATATCCTGCAAACTCTACCTGTAAAGGCTTTTCCAAATTTTTGCTAGCTAGTTAACAGGTTTTGGATGGCATGCTTCCCAACCAGTGTCTCGCAATGATAATTATACAGGCCAAGATTTAATGCAAATACATACTGTATCGTTCAGGGCTGGGCAATATCACAATATAATATCAATGTTGTTATAGGTTTTCAGTAATATGGTATTTATATAACACACCCCTAACATGTATATTAAAATAAACTATTTTTTTCTAATCTCAGTGCTTTTACCTGCTTTTTTATATTTATTTTTCTGAAGTCAAACCTATTTGCTATAGCTAGGACTTATGTTAGGAATATTTAAGGTCATTATATCTCATTGGGTCCTGGAGAGCCAATAACATTAAACTCAAACCTACTGGTTCAACCTGCCCCCTCTCTGTCTGCTGCTTATGCTTGCCTACGCTGCCACATACGCACACGAGCTGACTCAGGCCAAGGAGCTGTCCAGCCTGTAGCCGACGACTAGCCAAAAAGTACACACAGAACTGGACCGACCCGTCAGCCTTGGGCACCAAAACCACAGGGCTGCTCCAATCACTGTTTGACTACTTGATTACTCCCATAGTCTTGTGTTCCTCCCAAACTACATTTTTCTTTTGTTCTGGTAAATGGTAGGGGCGGCTGCATACAACCACACCTGGAGGAGTCTTGATTTGGTTGCTCTATGAGGTTTGTGCGTCTGGGTAGAGGCAAAAACACATCGGAAAATTCCCCTTGCAACATGGCAACCTGTGTCTGGGATGGTGAGAGATGGTCTTCCCAAGGGATCAGGGTGGAATGAGCTGGTTTTTGCCAAAGCCACAGGAACCACCTCTGTCCATGGTTTAAGATAATTCAGAAGAATGCCTCCAAATCACTGCATTCTGAGACGCTGCGAAGAGCCAGTGATTCTGTGTTGTGTAGTCCAGTAAAACTAGCACAAAGAGATGCCCTTGTGCACTCTGTTCTAATGGCTTGATGAAGTGCATACCAATTCTGTCCAAGTGGACCTACCTCAATGGAAGGGGGCACCTTTGGGGTTGCAGATTCTCCAGCTGACATTTGTGGCGTGCCATGCAACACCTGTGAACATTGCCTCAAATGCCTGGACAATAGAAACGGGCCAGGTGATGATTTAGTGTCTTATCCTCTCCCAAATGCCCAGCCATGGCATTATAATGAACCGCATGGAACAGCATTTCCCAACGGCTCTTTGGGACCAACTGTTGGGTCATTTCTTCCTTAGTCATGTGTCACTTGATATAGCCTATCGTTGATAACTGAAAAATATGGGTAGGTTAGCAAAACATTTGAATGAATTTGCTGACCAGCAATCGCTCTCACTTGGACAAATGCGTATCTCAGGGTCTAGATGAGTGTAAAAAGTTTCAACTGTGTCCACTATTAGGTGGGGTAGTATGGAATGACTGCCATACATGGAGATCACACTCAATATAATTGTATCATTGTCGACTATTTTTGTCACTCAAAGCCTGAATTACAAGTAAGAAAAGGAAAAGTTCGTCACAGCATTACATTCAAGTAAAAAAAAAATTTATTTGCATTTTCTTCCATTGTTATCTAGTTTTTGTACTTAATATTTGTATTTTGGATTGGGTTCCCTGGAGGACTAGTGGTTAGGCAAGAGCGCTCTCAGTGCTGTGGACCAGGTTCGATTCCCAGCCAGGAAACCGACCCCAGCCACTGGGGTTGCTTGCAACAGTGCGTTTTCAGTGACGGTCACAAGCCCGTCAGGAAGGGCATCTGGCGTTAAAAACTGTGCCAAATCAAATACGCAGACCAATGATCTGCTGTGGCGACCCCTAATGGGAGCAGCCGAAAGAGGAAGAGGAACAACAGCAACAACATCTGTATTTTGGATTGTGGAGCTAGAGAATTTAATGAGTACTTTAGTAGAAATAGGGTTCTGGTTCTAGTATGTGTTTAGGGGCACTAAATTTACAACTACTGAAGTTTCACACATTGACGCTCGGTATTTTATGTGTTAAGCTCTGTTCAGTGTCATTAGTTTTTACTTGGGGTGGAGGGTTAATATTTTTATTAGAAAAGTATTTCTGTGGTTTTAACCCCACCCAAACCCACAATGACAGGTCCTCTTTACATACTGTGGATTCTCATTTGAAAAGATTGTAACATCTTTATATAATTTATATAATAATTTTAGTTACATCAATCCCCTGCATGTTGACATACAGGAAAAGAGTTATAGTTGGTGAGGAATTGCACTGGAGAGTGCATTTACTTCTTAGATTTACATTTATTAAACTGCTGAAGCGAATGGTTATGCACTGTTTGTTCAAGCTATTTCTGGAAGCAATGTTCAACCAAACTGAAATGAGCCCTGTTTCACTTTTCATTCCTCTGGTTGGTCCTGTGTTCTCTTAGTGTGAGCTGTAGCAGTTACGGATCACAATTTTTAGTAACATTAAATCAAAGAAGTATGTTTAAAAATCTTTTCCTGTCCAAATAGTACTTTAGTAACATAACTTGCACCAGTGTATTATTTATTAATTTTAAAGAAAGACTTCTATAATTTTTTTAAGCTTTTGCAAGCAAAGTCTTTTTATGATTGACAATAATGCTTTTATCATCTTTAGACTAACATACTTTGGAAATGGTTGTATCCGATTTCTTCATTAAATTGTCTTCAGCGTGTCCTTTTTTGTAGCATTTAAAAAAGCAAGCAATGCCATTTACATCGTTACAATGGCATGTCTTGCTTAACTGAATTTTAATTACAGTCACATTTCTTGCAAAAAAAAAAAAGGTTGGGAACGTTTAGTTTTCTGGAATCTAGCTAAATGTAAATAATGGACAAATAAAATAAGATGGCAAAATTTTCAAATAGTTCAGATCAACATAAATAGACTTTAAATGCAAATTGCATGCAGAAATTAAGCTTAGACAATAGAAATTATTCTATTTAACTTTGAATGCTAGTTTATTTTTTGTATTTGCATTTAAATATTTTGAATACTAGGGTGTTAGGGTTTATATATATATGCAGGTAACAACTACTTTTATATATGCAGTAGGTATAAATCAGCACATAGTTGTATTAGTGATATACGAAGATTTGCATAGGGAGACCAATAGTTTAAGCACACTGAGAAGGGTCAGTTTTACGTATCCGTGTAAACTCCTGACTAATTTATTTCTAAACATTCTTTTTTGGTGAACTCTTTTGGTGAACTTTTTTTCCTTGTATTTCTTTTTTATGGCCATATTCCCATTTCAGAGAACAAACTCCATTAACTGATGAACAGTTGGTAGCAGGGTAAGATGAAATCATTTTAAACCACATTTCCTTTTCCCCCAAGAGCACCCCAGCTTTATTAATTTACCTTTTCTTTCTATTGCCATTTTTTGCCATTTAGATACACAGTTTAATTTTTTGCCATTTAGATACACAGTTTAATTGTCTTGATGTGGGAGTCATAAAGCTCAGACAAACCTAATTCAGAAATCATTGTGTATAATTATGGTTGATGTTAATCAGTTTACATTATACCTTGAATTTTTCATTGCTTGATTTAATATCAATAAAATACATTGAAATAATTTGCCTTAATGTTCAATTTTGGTTCATGTAATTTATGATGAATATTTTAACTGCAAAAATGAAAAACTCCTTTAAGAAAGAAAAGAATAATGCTCACAATCCATGCACATATCCAACAAATAACAGCATTTGTTTCTTTTCATTCTTTCTGGCATAATAATTTCACTACTGATTGAGGTTAAAGGTCTTTGTAGAGCCACTGACTTTTTCCACCACTGGGTGTTTCTGGGTTTTGAATCACCTCTTTAATGAATGTCTTTAATAGATAAAGCATGAGCAGAGAAAAAAACATGAGTCTATCATCTCTGCCAGAGACTGTCTTCTGAATAGTGTTTCTTCTCTTGTTATGAAAACAGTTATTCTTAGCTTAATTCATTTGATTTTAGTGTCCTTCCTCTATATGTTCCCCTGTAAGGGGTTTAACTTCATATGCATTATTGCTAAACAGTTTGTATTTGTTGAATGGAACCTGAATTTTAAGATCCACTCCTGCTCTGAGTTTTGGTTTGCTGATTGCTCACTGATTTATTCTGACTTTTTTTTTCCCTTAAAGATTCTCTGATATCATTCTTGCAACCATCTTGGCCACCAAGTCAGATATGTGCGGCAAAAAGTTTGAACTGAAGATTGATAATGTTCGCTTTGTGGGACATCCTACTCTTCTGCAGCCACCGCACACCATTCAGGTTAGACAACACCGAATTGAATTACACCAAAAATTGCAATGAAATAAAATCAACTTGGGTCACAATATCAGCTTAACTTTAGTCTTGAGGTTCGGGCCATGTGGCAGATAGGAGACAAATTGACAAGATGGCTTTTTGGCTTAAGAGCTCCACCTACTGGCTGAGGTGGTTACAGTTAATTCTGCCTGTCACTAGAGCCAGTGTGTTTAATATGTAGTAAATACAGTGGGGTATTTAATATATAATGCATTATACTAATTACTCAGGGTATGTAAAATGTGTTTTTATGCATATGTATTAACAATAGGTTATTTTACAGGCAATTACACCTTTAGCTGTTTTGGTCATTGTTCTTATACAAATTAAGCTACACTATATTACCAAAAGTATTCGGTCACCTGCCTTGACTCACATATGAACTTAAGTGCCATCCCATTCCTAACCCATAGGGTTCAATATGATGTCGTTCCACCTTTTGCAGCTATTACAGCTTCAACTCTTCTGGGAAGGCTGTCCACAAGGTTGAGGAGTGTGTTTATAGGAATTTTTGACCATTCTTCCAAAAGC